GTGGAAAACCAGCTTACGAAAATGTCACTGAAGTGTAGCCTATACATATGTATATATATTTTTCACATTTGATAGCCTACATACATAGGCCTAGATACATTACTTTCCCACACATGAATGAACTCAGGCTGCCAACCACATGGTTGGAAACTATCCCAATCTGGCAACACTGTCAAAAAGTTGCTCTTAAAGCCGAGGATTTTGAATCAGGGTTCAGTATATAGCAATTATGACGGTGTGCAGCTTTTCACATAATTTTAAGCGATTGAATAAAGATGCATTGCCTTATCAAGACCTCTTTGATATTCCGTACTTCCAAAGCTTGTTTCCATCAAAAAGACTTAGCTCCGAGATTCTGACAGTTTCATGTCTGTGGGTGGTTATAGTTCTGCAAACTGGAAATGCTCATCTTTAAAGACAATTCTTATCATAAGGATGTTGTTTAGTCATTCGTTAAAGTTTTGGAGCTCTAAGCCCAAGCGTTGGAAGGAAACATTTATTGTCACTCTTCTGGTTTTGTTTCTTTTACTACACAGACACTCTATTTTTTTTTCCTGTTTTTAGACAGGCAATCTGTAGTTGTCGGAACTGAATTTCAGCTCAGAAATGGATCCCAAAGAGACAGAACAATACCAGTAAATGCTTTTCTTTGTCAAATGCTGCGGATGTTGATATTACACTCTCTAAAAACGTGATGGGTGTGCAGAGCTATCAGGGTTCGTATCTTTACATGCTCAACAAAGAAAATGATTTGTGTTGGACAAACCTAGAAGCTTAAGTAGTAAATGTGGACATATGAAAAGAAGCTTTTGAAAAAAAAAAATGATTATCATGTTTGGATTTAAACTATGCTTTGAGCTATTACAAACACTTCCCAGAACAATCTCCCTGACAGCCCTTATTTTTAGCATATGACATATGTTCATGTTTTAATGCCATGAAGAAATTGCTTTTTTCGCCACAAATCTTGCAAATAGCGGTGTTGATGTTTTCCTAACGTATGCACTCAGATTGCAGAATTCAAAACAGCTGCCACTTGAGAGAGACCCAAAAGGGATTGTAGCAATGACTAAATTAGTTTCATGGGTAAAAGACAACATCCCTAGGATGATGAAAACTAACTTGCATGTCAGGGTGAACGTACGTCATTTATTACTGTGACAGTAACGACATTTTTTAAGAATATTGCATTCCCTCAGCCCTTAACTGACAAGTATGAGAAATTGCCTCTCATGTTGTACCATTACTGTAAATCTATATTTGCACTCGCTTTAAGGCAATCATTGTCATACAACTAATTAAGATTTGTGCTGACTTCTCTTTGAAGCCAAAACCCTGTTGGCCCTGATGTTTCTGAGAGGTGATCATCTGGGACATTTATTCTATTATGTTTCGTACTTGTTTCATTCAGAGGCTTGACATCCACAACAAAAGCTGGTGAGTCACTTGCATCCTTGTAAACAGTTCACAGTTGTTGTTTTTTTGTAATTCTAGTGTAGTCAAATTGTGTATTTTTATTTATAAGTCTCGATTGCACTGTTGCTCATGAGGATGACTCCATCGGTAATGAATTCCTCAATATTGTTGTTTACCACCGATACATGTGTTCTTCTTGCTTCGTGGCTCTTGCCGATGTCCAAGCTGCACATCTGTTTCTTGATAAAGAAGTTTAATGGCATGAGGAGGACACCACATTCTCTCTTTTTTTTACTTCCATTTCTTGTTTTCCATAGCCTGCTCTCCAGTGAACCCTGAAAAAAACATCAAACTATCAAATTAGTCGCTTGGAGTGGTTTCACACACAACAAAACATTTCCCATTTTACAAAGAGTCTACCAGCTGGTGTGAAAAGTATGTGATATTTTACAGTCATTTATATACACCTGGCCAGTAGTATGATTGATCCTCATAACAATGCCTCTCTCTAGTAGGTGTCACCATGCCAGTTTCCCATGTGCCAATTTTTTTTTTTTTTGTGGCTTTCCAGATTGCCTCATACAATATGGCCCTCTTCCGTCTGAGGGCTTTGTTCCGTCGATGCACTCCAAGCGTCGAGACCTCTCATGTCACTGTTCTTGGCTCGATGATTGTATATTTGCACAGAGGGCTTTCACTCTACGGTCATTCAGGACCCTGGCAAATGGCAGGTTCCCTGTGAACACTGGGCCTCTCTTCCATGGGGTATTAACGCATGATAGTTTGTTCCGTGCCAAGGAGGGCTTTTAGAAGTGGAAAGGGGCATCGGTTATTACAGTTGGGTTACGGAAGGTGCTGAGTATAAGTTTCCATTATGTCTATGAATGGAAAATAAAACCTCCGGCTCATAATGTTGATGGTAAAGAGCCCAAAACTGAGGACATTGAGAACCTTTTGGGGTGATAAAATCGGCCTGTTTTCTACCATGGCATTGGGCTTCATTTTGAGTTAAATTCAACTTTTTTATTTGAGTACAGCTCTTGTGAGGTTTTGTATCAACAGCAGGTTTCAAAGCCCTTTTTGATGAAGTGGATTATCACAGAAAAACTACATTTTTTGTTTGATTTTTGTTCATACTGAAGTTGTCTGGTTAAATAATTAATAAAAGTTAGTGAATAACCTGAATATTAGTTATATTACTTTTAAGAGATGTTTGTACCTCAACATTTACAATTCATATTGACTTCGTCTGACTTACATCGGTAAAATATGTTGCATGTTGTAGCTTTAAACAATTTTCCATGAGGCTACAAAGCATGAACTGAGACAAATAGTGGGACAAGCCGCACATTGTTCATAGTTAAACATCAAAGATAGGTATCTTTTTTACATCCTCTGCTTCACATTCCAACTATACCACGCATTCCGGACTTCAGGCTCTTGTTAAATTACAATATTTGTCATATTTAATGCTTCATTAAAATATGACCTGCAGAAAGAAGGATCTACAAAATGTGTTTAGAGGATATATCTGATTCAGTAGTGAAAACCAGTTAGAAAGACAGAAGTCGATCACTTTTACAGATCGCAGTGTAAAAGTGACCTTGGCGAGATCTGGCCGAAAGCTACGCTATGACTGGCCAGTCTGCGTTTAAGGGCAGAACTTAGTATCGGGTCAGTTGAAGTAAAAATATATCTTAGATTTCAGTTGATAACACAATATAAGGTGTTTTGCATTGTTATCATCGTATCAGTACCCACAGTTCTCTGGGTTCTTTTGCTGCAGTCGCCCTGTTGTGCTGTATTTGCAAGCATGGTTGGGAGACAGCTTTGTCATTTCTTCAGAAATTGAGATTCAAATTTCAGTATTCAATTTGCTTATTCGTGCGAGCAACATCATGCTTTGGAAATAAAGAACATGTGCATTCATAGTAAAAGTTATATTATGTAATCTTAGGACATGTAGCTAAAGGTTCATCTGTCTGTTTCTTTGCCCATCATGCACTTGATCCAAAGTTGACGACTAGAGTTTGACCAATGGACTTTCAAGGCTAACAGCATCATAATCCCTTGTGAAAGTTACATGTCTTGTATTTCTTTGTCATTAACACATTCATAAAGGGTTTTGGCAAATATGCTTGAAATGAGACAGTTATCATTGTTATGAAAGATAATGCTTAATGTTACTGGAAATCAAATAATATAAATGCTGAACAAAAAACTTAGAAAAACAATATGTTAATCTTAGCATGACAAAAAAAACAAGGATTAACTACCAACAGCAGAGCCGATCATTCATGAATTTCGTTTTGCATATCTGTGATAAGGCTATATAACTGGGATATCAGTCAGGCTCACGTGTCTCTTGAAGCTGATGAAGCTGATTTTAGATGCATAATAATGACTTTTACACTAAGCGCTCCATATGCATAAGCAGTATAAACAAACTGAGAATCAGAAAAATATGATTTTTTTTTTTTACTACACTGCATTCCAAAACATGGTGTAATCAGACTCATTTGCGTTATCATCGAGCAATTAGTAATCAATCATCAAAATAAAATAAGCATCAAAATTATGTTTTTTTTCTTCATCGGGTTTGATGACAAATAATGTGACTAGAAATGTTTTGCTTCTCATAAATTAGGACCACTGTGGCCTGTGCCAATATCTTCAGTATCATATCATAATGAGTTTAACTTTCTCACCAGTAATTTTAATTTATACGTACGGCAAACTTGGAGTAAAACCTTTGCTTCTTTTACCTTGAAATTAATGAGATGATACTGTAAGGTCCCCACGATGATACATCATAATGCTATAACATCATACTTTCTGCTCCATGACAGCCAGAATTCAAGTGAATGTAGACCTATGTACTTTGAAATGCAAAAGCCTGCATGTATATGGGGTTGCGGTTTTTTTTTTTTTGTGCAAGCAATCAGTTCAGGTAAGCCCCGAGCTCCGTCTAGTCTCATGCCCATGTGACTCTTTGATTTGATTCAGGATGCTTTGTTGGAGTCATTTGAGATCCCTAACGCAGCCTGAATCAGATCATATCCCAGGTTTGCCTCTCCAGGACAACGCCCCAGAGTCAGCCTCGTTGTACACAAACAAATGTCACAGAAACAACCTGAATAAATGAGTAGAGAAGCGTGACGAATGCAGATGCTTCCATAGATGGGCGTCACATGCAATGGCCTCTACAGTCACCACACGCAACCCTTATGGAACACCTACGCGAGCTTGTAGGCCGACGTATGAAGCTCTGTTCCCCACCACCGTCATCGAAACAACAAATGAAGAAATATATTTTGTTCGTGCCTCCAGTAGAGTCCAGAGACTAGTCTCTTTTACATGTATTTCATCATTTTGGCAGCTAAGGACAAGAACGTGTACTAGCATTGTCTTTTTAAAAGTGCACAGTATGTGATCAAAGAGGGCCTTGTGCTGTGGGAGCCATGACTAATGGTGGACACTCATTATGGACGACTCCAGATCGGGCTCAGGTTAGGAGTTGCTTGAGGGCTGAACAGAAAAAAACACTTAGTCACTGATGTCTCTTGTTGGCTTTGGTCCTCCAGGTTTTGATGACCGGGACACAGACCTGTTCTTGTGCGACACCAACACATGCAAGTTCGACGGGGAATGTCTACGGATTGGGAACATGGTGACGTGCATTTGTGACTTCAAGGTAAGACCAGCGATGTTACTATTTTATATAATTTTTCTCCTTTTAACGTGCATTTGGTGTTAATCTAGTTTTCATTTAACCCTTCTCCGAACGGAGAATGTCCAATCATAGCTTGGCAACCGTAACTAGTTACAGCAAGCCTGTGAAGCTTTGGATTTCTCTACATGTTGTAGCAGTGTGCATGGAGCTGTAGTAACAACAATACTCTGCAAACACCAGCAAATATGTGATGAATGGATTTAACAGGGTTTTATTTGCTCCAACATAGGATGCAACAGCATGATTACCCGGCTAACAACCTACAGTTGTTACATTAAAGTGTTCCTAGCAGGGCCATTTCATTGACAGCTATACAGTATTAATCTGTGGGGTTACATGTTCATGACTGGCACACCCACTGAGTATTTCTCCATTGTCTGGAACCAGCCCCTTGATGCTATCAGAGTGTAGATTATCGTTTATTTTGGGGAAGTTTATTACAATTATGTGTTGGATTTGTCAGACACAGTGGTTAGTCCTCATCTTAAAAACCTTTCTCTTGTAATGTTGAACGTGAAAACATATTAGCTGCATGATATGAGGAAGATATGGAATAACATTGTGGAATTTTGCAATAACAATTTTAGTGAAACAGATATTAAAGTGTTCTCACTTCTGCCGTTCTGCTGCTTTTCAGCACACTGCTTGGAAATATTTCAAACATTCTTTTATTGAAGAAATTGAACATTGAGCTGAACACAAAGGCACCAAAATAAAATGAATACTGGTAACATTTTAACGTGCTGTTTTTTATCGATATAGCAATATCTCAATGTCAACTTACGAAGAAAAAACTATGTATCTTGTAGCCCTACTTTGAAATTATGAACATGCGAGCAGAAGACAGCGTTTTCCCTCCAATCCCTGGAGCGTTAGCTTAATTAGGTAGCTAGCTTCAGATAAAATTGTAATTTCAGCCAGCAAAATGGACGACTGCTGCCTTGAAATGTAAAGCCTGCTATTGTCCACTTCTGTCTAAAAATGCCGGACTCATTGACTCATTGTTTCAAAAATTGTAACTGCAAGGCGGTCAGTCGGGGGAGGGCTGACAAGTGTTGTGGGTCGCTGCAGTAATTAGTCGAACAGCATCATTGTCAAGAAATCCAATCGTCTTTTTTTGTAGTCTAAAAACAATCAACAACAGAGAAGAGGCACGAAAGCGCTGACACGGTGTGATTCATTGAACTTAAAAGTGCTCGAGAGAACTTCTTCAGGCACAGCACATGTTAATAAAAACAAATGTAACTGGGAAGATATGTTGAGTTGAAAGGTGATATATTATTAAAGTGAAGCAATAGTTTAAAGAGTTATCTATACAATCAACCGGATCGAAGTCCATTGTCTTGATTGGACAATAGTGGCCCCCGGGGGCGGCGGTTTATGGCTCCCTGTGAAACCCCATGTCACTCTTCTGGACCACTGCACACTCTCCACATTCATAAACAAGACTGCCACTGACGAGACCGAAGCCTGAAAGGCCCTCGTTAATGGCATAAATCTGGGAAATTATGCTCTTCTTGATAATGACTCATACTTAACTTTACGACCAGACCTATCATAAAAAAATAGGAGCAAACCAGTCCGCCGAGTATTGATTTTGGTAGAACGCTTGCAAGCTTTGCCGACTTGTATGCGACGCAGGGCCCCAGATGAATGGAGCCGCTGAGATCTGAAGATGTTGCATGTGTTCTCATCCGTCGCCTTTATCGGCGCGTCTTCAGCGCAGCCAGGCGCTAGGCCAGGCTGGCACTCGATTGGTCCACAGCTTTTATCTCAATTCCGTACTTCCCTGAGAGCAAACGTTAACAGAGGCCTGCAGATAAATGACATTACAGCTCCATTCCTCTTCAGGAGATCTCACACTGATACTGCTGTCGCTGTGCACCGAGGTGCCTCTCTGTGCTGGCAGAACGGCGCAGGTCGCATCGCAATTTCTGCCTTAATACCGTGGGTCTGAGGTCAGCTCGTCTATTCGTCTTCTGTTTGTTCGTGCAGATGGTTCATCAGTCAACGTAAGCGTGACCTTCCTAGCCTTGCAACTGTCGCCGTGCCCTGAAACAATCAGTCACTCTCAATCCGTGTCAAATCAGCGGGTCCGAGATTTCTCTCCCGTTGGCAGTTCGTTCAGGACTGTCGGAGGAGGCAGGAAAGTTGTATAAATTCTCATCTTGGATGGATTTTCCTTTGTTCTAACAGAATCTTTGGATGTGCACACTCTCACACGCACACACACAAGAAAAAAAACCAAAGGAAGAGACATGCAAGGGGCTCTGTGAAGAGGAAGTGAGTTTGATGTGGTGGAATCAATGGACACTATTCATTGCCAAGATGCATTAGATTCGTCTCACACTGGCTCTTGAAAGAGCCAAGACTTCCACTCACTAGCCCGGAGTCAAACTGCTACAAAGCAACATGCCCTCATTCACCTGAAAATGAGCATGCTTTTTTTAAATTTGTGTGTCAACTAAGGCCTTACCCTGACTAATAACACAGAACATTTATTTGTCATTCATCTCCCAGTAGCTGCTGGGAAAAGCTATCGTTGCCCAGTTTGGTTTCCTTAATGTCAGGTCACGGTGCCGATTCCCCGGAGAGCCGACCGTTCTAAAAATATGTGCGCCCGTGGCGCTGTGAAAACACTTCAACTAAAACTGTCCACCGAAGGGTAAATGGCACATTTCATTGCTTTCTGTAATGGTGCTTAGTAATATATTCTTTGGGGTTGGAGAGTCACCCCAATTGTTTCTCATATGTGAATGCAGCTCTGGTTTTTCTGTTGTCTTTTGTACCGTTTTTGGTACAGAAGACCTCTGCTTACAGTTCTCAGTGAATGCAGTTTACATACAGCAGTTGCCAACAGAAAGACACATTTCCCAAGTTCGCTGCCAGGACCAATATATCCAATAAAATGTGAGCAAATGTGTGTCTTTTGAAAGGTCAGTTGGCAGGGTAATTGTACTTTGTCTTTCTGAGTCAGATATTAACACAACACTTCTTTAGCAGTTGCTTATTAATGCAACAGGACAGTTAATTCAAGTTATGGAGAAGGGGGTAGCGGAAGGAACCAATCAGGAGCATAGTAATCCATAGATGCATGCAGTTCTGGAAGAGGACTAAATAAATATATACAATGCTAGATTAGCATTTCAAAACGTCCATGGCACTGTGACACTAGTTGCCTGTAAGTTTAATTATTTAACCTTTGTTTATACATACGTAAGGTAATTAATATGCCAATCGGCCAACAGTAAATTAAAATGTCCGACGGTTGAAACATCTTTTTTTAGAGGAAAGATTATTGGCAGCAGACACAACCGAAGCATCCAACAAAATGTGTGCCAGCGCATCTTTTCAAAGTGCAATTGGCAGAAAGGCGTCTTGCTGTAGATAATTCTTTTGAAAGGCGTTCAAGTCAGAAAGGGCAGGGAGTTGGACAACCCTGTGTGTACTTCGGGGACAGACGGCATGTTTGTTCACAAAACGAGATGCCACACTGCAGCAGATTGCGAGTGGAATATCTGTAAACGCGCCCGAGGTTTTGAGGAGACTCCTGCGGAAGATTTTTGCAGATGAGTTGGGAGACAGATGTGAACACGGCAGACGTAAGTAATGTGATGGGTGCATTTATGTCAGCATTACTGACGGCTCAGTGCTGCCGAGCAGGTTACAAAAAGTACTTCCAGTCCTCCAGATAGAATGGATTTAGTACATTGTGTCAATATTGCAAGAAAGTTCAGCCAGTCACTGCAAATGATCTTTTCTATGGTTGGCACATGTAACCTCACACCGCCTTTATTGTCCGGGTATAGTATGTGAGAATGAGGTCTGCGGTGGGTTTGGTTCACAGTCAGGACAAGACTTTGTGGCACCAGAGACCTGGTAGGATATCTCTGGGTTTGAATGTTTTTTTTGCAGAACGAACAAGACACACACCCAGTTGTATGTAGTGATTCACAGGCTCGTGGTGGTGTTGCTTGATAACCCAGCCATATCTATGGCTACAGGCTTGTAGAGAGGAAGCCAACTGTGGACTGGGAGATGACATCCAGCTTGTTTGTTAAGGATTGTCTTGGAAGAGTTCAGTTGATAACACCACGCTGAACGATGATATCGAAAAGTTTGTTTTTATTCAATAATTGTGTAATTGTGTAAAAGCGCCCGTTGACTTGTTGGTGATAAACATGTGAGAACGAGCTGAAAAAGCACAATTACTTCACGTGTGCAGTATCGTATTTCTGTGTGTAGTCCTTGAAATGGCTATTGGAAATACACAATTGCTCAGGTAACCTCAATTATTCCACCCATAAAAAGCAAAAAAGCAATGATTGTTTTGACTGCAGACTTAAAAAAAATACGTTTCACCCACATTCAAAATTAAACAAAATCTCTACCACAATGTGAGGGTGCGGGAAAGTGTTTTAGCGGTAGTTAAATTTGAATGAAAAGTCAATAAAATCAACATAACTCTGAGAAATTTATGTCTTTTACTGCAGGCGCACACCAGCTCTAAAGATCTCATTTAACGCTGCTTCTAACAGGGTCCGAAAACATCATTGACATTATCGACATTGCAGTCACACAAATGTATATCTCTAATGTTCTTATTGGCACATTGAACACAAATGCAAAATGAAAACAATCTTTAGTTGGGCCCAAATCATCAATATTACATTTGAGACCCTCCTTGCCAGAAAGATAACAGCACTGGTTGTTCATTCAAATACTTACAACAACCTATGAAGACCTGCCAACTGGCAACGCTGGTTTATTTTGATCCAAGTAACTAAGTCGTTTTCGTTGCCCAATACCTAACCTCTACTGTATGTCTTATGTTGTCACTTGTACATTAACACAAAGCTTGCCTATTCAAAATGTCAGAGATGTTTGCTTAACTGATCTCACTGGAAGTAACAGATAAATCTAGTGTTCAATTTTAATCGTCTCATTTTCTGCACAACAAA